CTCCGTGGAGGGGGCGTTCCGGCGCTTTTGAGCGCTTTTAAACGCTTTTGAGCGAAGTCTGGCCAGGGCCCTACATACGACCCCACCCTTTTTCTCTAACTGGTTGGCCTACTCCACCCACTTTGTTCAATTATGCTCTCACGGCATTGTAAATTTCTTACAAAAATTCTCGAGAACTATTCGAGATGAAAGGCACGCTTTTCATGGTTGTTAGCGCCTAAATATCTCGGTTGATCTCAACTACCCCTCATCGTTCTTGGCAGTTTGCAGATGTTTCAAACAAACAAGAAAAAGCTTTCTCCACAGTTTCTATACTGCTAACATGAGGTCGATTAGCAAGTTCAGTACCTCAAAGTCTTTTCCCAACGAGAAGATTATGGGCTTTACTTTTCAAGGAGCTGTTCTATACTGCAGTGCTGCAGCAACGGCAGTATGAAACAACTCAAACCTTTAACGTCTTACAAAGCAAAAAAGTAATCAGTCCAAATCAACTACAAAAGAAGAAGCAAAGAAGAAGGGGCAGATAAGACAGGCGCATACCTGGTAAAACTCTTCAGTTGATTTTTGAACTGGCTCTTCATCGGATTCAAGGCACTTTTGAGTAACTTGGTATCTGCCTCGAAAATACTCTTTCACATCCTTGCCAAGCATGTCTGAAAACAGCGTTTCAGATAATAGAATCAGTCGCAAGTAAGAGAACTTTTTTACTTTTAATATGGGTTACCTTTATTAGCTGAGAGGGCGGTCAGGATCATTCGCTGTACCTCAGAAAAGCATTCATTTGCATCTTGTTGCTCCAAATGACCATGCTCATCTCTAGAGCTGAACTGAGGTAGAATGCTGTGAAGGGCCTACAAAAATTAGTACTTATGGTTGTTTTGGTGCAGTATCAAGAAGTCAAACCTGCAACATGAAGAATGGCACAAGTGGCTCATCTGCTGTCCGTCGAGGATTGTCGAGCATTTCGTATACACTTTTTACGGCCATGGCCATCTTTTTATTTGCGTCAGTTTCTTGACCAGAAACACTTAGTCGTTGTAGGCCATCTTTGATCTCCGGAATGGTCTAAAATGGTGATTATAGAGACGACGAAAATGAAATTACAAATCATGAAAGCTCTTACCTTGAAACTTTGTAAAACCGAGTTCATATAGCAAGTGTTGCCGAGATTTTTCAGACCACTGGGTAATTTTAATTGTTTCTCTTCTTCTAGAGCAGCTTCCTTCTTCTGCTCTTCTGGCTTCGGTGGTTCAGGAACAGCATCAGCGCTAAATTTTAAGAATGATTTCGACTTTAGGCAGCGTCCCCTCAAACTGGAGTGTACCTGGATCTCACTGCGTTGTGATGGTAGGCCTCCAGATCAAAGTGCCTGGGAGGCCTAAAACTTGTCTCGAAAGTCTTCCGGATCCCGCCCCTTTCCAGACTCCGCCCACCGCCTAACTGAAACCCAAGCCGGGGGTTCCCTCATACTGCTCCGTTACGGCACGGTGCCGCGGTTTGCGGCGTAGCATGAAGGAACCATTAGACTTGGGTATCGCGGTGGGCGGAGTATGGAAAAGGGCGGGGTCCGGAAGACTTTCGAGACGCGCTTTAGGCCTCCCAGGCACGCTTTTTTGCTGCGGACTTCAC